ACAAAGCCGGAATCACGTTAGTCCATAAGTAGCTCTGATTGAATTGATGAGATGTAGGCCCGTAGGTGTGAAAATCAGGCTAAGAAACCAGCACAACAATACTAGCCCAGGAGATGAATCTAAACCCGCTTTTTCTTCATACGTTTTGTTGAGCCCACCTCCATTTCAGGTGAAAGGGAGTGTGATGAAGAGATTTGAAGTTGGATCGCATCACATTCTGGTGGGATCCAACTTCGAAGTCCTTCGTCACACTCAGCTTCGCCCGAAATGAGGGTGAGCTCAACAAAGCTTTTCAATAAAAGTAAGCATCGCTTGATCTCCTACAGGCCTACTTACGGACTAGCACAATCTCGGTCATTCTTTTGCTTGGGTAACTAAGCCATGATGGCCCAGGGCTGAGGTTAAGCCTTCTTAGAAGATGTGCGAATTGTGGTGCATAAGAATAAATTATTCATAAAACAATTGTCTGACCTTGTTTTCGCAACTTGGTCATATCAGCAGGAAGACCTAGAGGAACACACCTTCTCCCGAGTCCATAATACTCACGCTCATTTCCAGAGTCTGACCGTGGACTTGGTACATTCCCAGACGTTTCGCCGACATCATCAGTGAGTCTTGCCAGTCTCAACAACCAAGCTACAACTCGTCAAAGAGACAAGTGAAGTCAATCCATTGACCAACTTCCTGTCGAGACGGTTATGCTATGATTGTTGAGAATGGCAAGACTCACTGAGGATGCCGACTACGATGGCGGCGAAACGTCTGAGAATGTACCAAGTCCACGGTCCGACTCTGGAAATGAGTATGCATACTATGGACTCCGGACAAGCTGTGTTTCCCTAGGTCTTACTGCTGATATGACCAAGTTACGAAACCAAAATCAAACAAAATGATACGGCCACCATAAAAAAGGCTACACCATCCTGATCTTCATACCTATTCATAAAAAAGTTTATATCCTAATCTAGACGATACGCATATTACTAATCTTTTATTAATTATGCACCACATTCTTCTTAAAAATGATCTTAGATGAGAGGATATATGAACTGGGCTCATCCCATTTCGTTAGAGCTGATGAATGACTGGCAGTTGAGTAGATATGATGTTTCCGTTGAATTTCCCAAAAGTTATTCTTATCCAGGATCTACTCATGTTACTCATATCATTGTGGGAAATCAATTAACACACGAAAAAGAGGGACACAATTCAGATTTATTGGTAGACTCAAAAACCTAATCAAATTGAAATGTTCGTCGAGAGGAGCCGACTGTTTCTCTGAATAGACATTTACTTTCCCTCTAAATGGAAGTGAGCTACCTCAAATCGCGTCATTTATTCGTCCGTGCTCTCTGCTGCAGTCGTTTACTTCACATGATACAGACATGTGTGGAAATCGGCTACATGAACAAATGATTGGAAGGAGTGAGGCATACATGAGGCTGGCTGGATGGCCAGACTGAGGATGAGAGACAAATGGTCAGTAAAGTGGATACAATCTAAGCTATGGATCTGATGACGGTAGTCCGGTTTCCATCCTCTTCTCGCATGAATCTCACACCAACATCTCATCTGCCCACACTGCTCCCGGAGCCTGGACGGCCTGTGCTCTCACAGTCTCAACTCCCAACGGCCAGGTCGTCCCATCTCCATCGTCCATCCGCCTATCAAGCAGTCTTTCACCCCAATCGCCCAGTCGTCCAGTCGCAGAAACATGCCTTAACGCCAGCCGAGACGAAATACTATTTGCCCAAAGGCCTGCCTGTCTTACCAATTTTGTCGTCGGCCTGGGCAACAACAGCTAATGTCACTGTTGCTCGGCCTGTGTAACCAATGCCTTCGTGGCGGCTGCCTGTTACTCGGCCGCAGTTGCCCAAGCCTCGGACCACCCGCTGATGTGTAATGTCTACCGATTACGCCTCCACACACGTACCAATAACCGCATCCCCACTCCCCCGGGCGCCCGGTTACCCGGGTACCCAGAGCCCCGGGGGCAGGGGACCCGGCAGCTTACTCAACAAATCACTTGATTCGCCCAGTTCCACTCATCTGCCAGAAGACCCTACCAAACACCACCTTTTACTCCCCATTTCTGGCCTCTACCCAACTCAAAGTGTACTACTGGTCGGCCTCCCGCAGAGATCTATCTACCTGAACCCAGCCGGTGGTAAGGCCATGGCAATCGGGGCTCCGTTATCTGTTGGGGCAGAGAGGTCGAGAACTGACTTTAACGTGGATGGATTGTGTTAGAAAGCATATCTGCATACATGTATGTATGTATATATGTATGTGTGTGTGTGTGTGTGTTTGTGGACAAATGAGAGGAGGCAGGAAAATGAAGTGAACAGACTGTGTTGTGGATTGAG